AACTCCCTATGTAACCAAGGATGAACCTAAATTCCCCATCCTCCTGCCTCCAGCTCCCAAGTGCTGTGAACACAGACACATGGCACCACATTCAATTTCTCGCCCAGACTTTTGTTTCTAACATTGTATTTGATGAATAATCTCGCCTCCATATATATTCATGACCTTTTAGACATGAGCTCTTATTTGGAAACAGGGTCTATACAGAAGTATTAAATGCCCTCTCTTAAGATCCTTCTAGAAGATGAGAGTACAGAGAGAGAACCAGGCTCTGAACCAGCAACTGCAGCAGCCACCACAGCCAGGAGGGAGGCGAGTAGCGAGCCCTCACCTAGTCTTCAGGGGGAGGACTTCAAGTCATTTGAACTTTTTTCTCTTCTAGAACTCTGGTCTGAAACCGCCCGCTGTCCAGAGTGCTATCCATGCTAGCCATGCCTTGGGCTTCTCCTCTGTCTCCCTAGAGCTATGGCGCACGCTGACCCCACACTCAGAAGCCCTCTCCACTTTTCTCAGTGATTCACAGGAATTAGCTAGGTGTCGTCTGGCTTAGAAAGCCTAGCCTGAAGTAATTTCTCAGGGGCAACTGGAATTGCCTTTTCTGTGCTCAGGCACTCTACAGAAGCACAGAGCACATTGTGTTAATACATGAATGACAAATAGAAACTCCCTACCCCTTTGGAATGAGGGAGTGTCCAGTGCCTTCCCGCGTGCAGAGATGCATGAAAGCTGTCTCAGGAAGTAGCATGGGAAAGCTAGAGAACACGTGCAGGAGAAGGAGCTCTCTTTGATTTTGTTTTCTCTTTTCCTAGACATGTCTTTGTTATTTACCAGCTGTGTGACTGGAGTCAAGTCATTTCGTCTCTAGTGTGGATAATATCTGTCTCTCCCTTACACAGAGGTCGAAGGTGAACACTGCTAAGTGTGTCACCTGCTTAGAACACACGTGAGGAGAACGTGGCAAGTGCCAGCTGCTATTGCACTTGTACCCCGGCAGCAGGTAGCATTGTTCCGGGTCAGGGCTCAACATTAATGCCAAAGGATAGAGGCAGCTTTGAGACTTTTTGGGGACAGGAGTGGGGGAAGTAGGGTAGCAAGCTCAGTGGTGACATGCCATAGCATATATACCATGACACATATATTTATTTTCACCTCAGTAATAAGAAAAGTCGAGATGAGACTCACACACCACCCTCAATTCCCATCTCGATTCCAAGATGGCCGGGATCTGGAGGGCCTCAAGCCATGGCAAATGTTTCAGACCTCAAAGAAAGCATCCCCATGCATCCTCACCACACTAACCAAGTGCAAGCTTCACCCTTTACAGAGAATTATATAACTATATAAAAATATGTTGTTTACTTGGTAGTGATTGGCAGCTTTGATTGGCAGTTACTTATGCCTTTTGAGAATCAAAAGCAACAAACTCTAAATCGCAGTTTTCCTTAAAGAGCCGCTCCCTAAATAGCTGTTTGCAAAGCCTGTGATCCATGGGGAGAAGATAATGAAAAGGCCAGTGGTGCAGGCAGAGTCACTGTGGGTTAGTGCATCTCTCGAGCCCATTTGACACCAGCGTGTCGGAAATTACTGAAAATGTCTTTAAGACAATCAGCTATAAAAATTTATTTCATATTTGATTTTACTCTCTTTGTCCTCAAAGGGAAATGCCCTGTTCTAAAATTTCAGGCAAAGGTGGTAGGGGCGTGGGAGATAGAAGTGCCAGCTGCAGAGTCTTAAGATCTTAAGAATAGGTATATGGAGGGGGTTTTAGGAAGCCAGAGATGCTGAAACAGGAGACAGAAATGGATGGAGGGTTTTTAAACCTAGGCTGTTCATTCTTCCATTCTACATGTGTAAGTGCCACAGATCCTCTTAGGGCTGCGAGCAGGGTCACAGAGGCACGCACAAGGAGTCTGAGGAAATCCAAGAACACGTTTTCTCTGTTTTTAGAAGCCACCATCTTTTCTAGAATTAAGGGGTGGGATGTGGAAGGGCTCCTCTGGTTACAGATGTGCACCAGGAATCGGGTAGGGGAGAAGGTACAGGGAAGTCAGAAGACCTGTGCATCCCTTGGGGATCCAGGGTGCTAGCAGAGAGCTGGCCAGCAGGAAGTTGTGAGAATAAAGTGTTAAGCAAATATGAGTGACATTCCATATGTAGCTGGGAGTTCGATGCTGTTGTTAACCTGTTACAGCCCTGTGGAAACGAGCAGAGACCCTCCAAGTGTAAGAGTTAGTTGATATATAAGTGCCTGATACACCACTGCACCAACCACCACTGCACCAACCACCATCAGGCAGATTTAAGGGAGACTCAAAGGCAGAAAGAGAAGGAAGCTTTCTCGTAGAAAACAAAGAAGCCTTCAGGCATGCATGCCCTGATTCTAGGTGGCTGTGGGGGAAACTAGGGGAAGGCCAGCTGGAGGCAAAGCACCCCACGCCACTGTTAGGGATGCATGCCTGCCATTCTCTGCTTGGCCCTAAACTGGCAGCAAGGAGTGAAGATTAGGGATGCTGTCACTGATCAAGAATGCTTCAGCTGGGTGCCTCTTGTTATGGAGCTAATGTGTGGCTTCTTCGACTGCTTTCAGAAAGAGCAATTCACCACCGTCTAAGTATGACTTACACAGATTGTTCTCCTTGGCTGGACTATATACTACCTGTTGGGAGTCAGCCTTCTCCTTGCCTATATGGGTTGGTCATTGACTATTATATATTCATTCCCTTGCTTTCTTAGTGTGAGTCTCTACAAGGCAAAGTTACTCCAAACAGCACATACTCTCAGAGCCCCAGACGGAAACTGAGACAGTTTCGGGACTACACAGAGCATATCAGAATGTATAGTGGAAATGGCATATTTACCTGTGAAATGTACACATGGGGTAACAAAACCACCAACTGTCTTCACCTAAAGCAGAATTAGCTTGTTGCTTTTCTGTCTATGATTTGCTTTTGTGGTATGATTAATAAGTTATGGAAAATGATTTGATAAATAAATCATTGGTATATAAAAATTTTCCAAAACCCAGGGTACATGAGAAGGAAAGTTTTCTAAGGGGTATTAAGTAAAGAAGCCTTGAAAATTTTCCTTGTTCTTAAACTCAAACATCTCCCCTTCTATAACTGGTGTCCAAGGTTACTGGCCAGAGCAGAGCCCAAGTGAGGCAGATATTGGATCTACTCAGAGAGTCGAAGGCTGTGTCCTCCGGTCTACAAATACAAAGCCAGTCTGAGGCTCATTCCTTTTCAGTTCCTAGTCCTTAGCCTCCAAGAAGCTCATAAATATGTGCAGCATTCATGATTATATATGGGAGTAATAAATAAATCTATCTCCAAATCGCTAGTTATCCAGTAGGCCTGAAGGTCATGATCTCCTGATTGTGAGAGTTGAGCACTCATGACTCCCAAGGAAGGATCCTGGCACCACCGCCTGGTTATTCTGAGAAATAAAAACCATTCTGCACTATATGTTCATCAGCAGAAGGCATGACTTCAGTGTTGGAACAGGATTCTGAGGCCCCACAAAAGCTGAGCAAGGCTCACTTTATCTGAAACTAAGTGGTTTTGACAGGCATGCAGCTAAGACACTGGCATCCTCTCCCTCCCTCCTGCACCCTTCTGATGAACTCCACTTACATCCCAGACCCAGCAAATGTTAGGCCCTCAGCAGCAACTGGGACCTTTCTGCAGGACTGCCCTACATTTTGTCTCTTGGGTTCTTTTCGAACACCGTTAGTAGTAGACACATTGTGTTATCAAAGCTAATCCTTATGCACCATTAAGGCCTCACTTCTCTCCCACTCTTGCCAGCACGTCTGCCCCACCTACTTATCCCTTCATCATGCCACTTTTGCACACTGTACATTGCACACTGTGCATTGTGTTTACCGATTCCTGTAACAGTCACAGGACCTATGTTCCACAGAGGTGACACAAGATCAATTACTTGTGTCAGATGCCAAGTGAAGAGCAGACTGAGTGAGTCCTGGACTCCAGCAGTTTGTAAACTTTCCGAGCCATCTTTTCCCTCAAACAAGCTTTAAACGCTGCCCTGCCTGGCGGTGACGACAACTCCGGTGTCCAGTCAGTCTACCCGCAATCAGATCATGCTACAGTGCTAAGTGGCTTACGTGACACTGGTGTGAAGGAACCGCCCAAGGACGCTCCACCTTCAGGCACACAGAGTTTCCCGAATCTTTATTTTCTTCCCAGAAAATCTTCCATGGCTATGTCATGCAATATTTCTTCTAGGAATGACATATTTAAAAAAGGATCAAATCCCATATGCTAATTGTACTCAGTACCAATTCTATATCACAGCCTCTCAGAACCCAATGTTTGATGTGTTCAGTGTTCAGGGTTAGCATGCAGCACCTCTATAGCTAGAGGATGAGGATGTTCCACACAGTAGACCCTGCCAAGAGAAAAAGCCTGGCTGGAATGAACCCGTGCTCTGACATTAACCTCAAATAGCCCCACAACGTTCAATGTCTTCCTAAGTAAACTCTCCCTAGGGGACAGGGAGCCACTGATCAAAAAAAGACTCTTCTGCAAAGAGTCTGTCTCTCTGCAGAAGGTATGTACAGTCTTCATTATAAATAGGCTGACATTCCATTCTACACAGCAGAAAAATCAAATATGTAAAGAACAAAGAATTTGGTATTTCTGGCAATGTTGCCCTTTAGGTCTCATCTTCCCACACTTTGTCTTTGGGGGCCCTGTCTTCCTGTCACCCATGCTGGCTCTGTCCCAGCACCTCTGCACCTTCTTTCTCTGAAGGGCTCCAGAAAAACATCACCAAAAGCCTACCGGTATTAGCAAGTTCTGGTAGGAAAGAAAAAGCAAGCCAACACACAGAAATCACTCCCTTCTGTTAACGGGGCTTGTAAATGAACATTATCCCTATTCTTTCAGCCTTGGCACTCAACTGAACACACCTACAATTATACACCTGCAAAATTTGTAGCAAGTCACCCATGACATCATGCGGTCCCACATACTCACATTTTCGGCCCGGAGCCTCTTGGCAGGACACCCCCCATCCCTGGGGTGAAGCATGTAATAAAGCCGGACTTTGCTTGCATGTTTTCGACTCTGGGGAAGGAAAACAAAAGGAGAGATTATTAAAAGAGTAGCCTCTTGCGAGGAGAACTTGAAAATGCAGACAGCGACCACAAAGGCAAGATCTTCTTAGTAGAAAGTAGTTCCTTGTGCTCCTGCAGAGTCCATGGGATTTCGCTTGATGTAGACTGAATTGATCTAAGTTCCTAAGCCAATATTTCAGGATAAATAAAAACAGCAACCACGAGTTACGAGTCAGTTCGCTTTATGCCATGTGTTTGTCGTCAAAAGACAGGCAGGCAGAGGAAATTGTGCACAGGTCAACTGTGGTGAAGCCAGCACTCGAATGTTCACTTCACGTCTCCCGAGCTCAGATCTGGGGCATGGCGCCCCCACAGGTGTGTGGCACTTGCAGCAAGCCTGGCAACTACTCTGAGCTCAAGAGCCCTACAGTCACACAAGCAAATAACTTCAGGTAAATGGGGAAGGTCTGTACACCATTGACTGGCCCAAGGCCAGAAGGAGAAATGGGTCCCATCTTGGTTCTATTATCCCCAGCCTGACTGCTATCACTTTGAAGAATATTGGAATGACTTCCATGTTCTCCCTGAAGCAGGAAAGAGTGAAAAGAAAGCATTTCTGAAGTTCGGAGTCCCAGTCCCAGCTCTACCCCCTGCTCACTGCATGACATAAGACCTGCCATCGACCGGAGCGTACCCTTAGTCTAAACAAGCCTGATTTTTCTCCACATGCAAAATGAACACAATGCTATTACAGCTGTTGTGAGAACCGAATGAGATGATTTCACATGAAGCGCTCTGTTTTCCACAACTCTGATTGTCTGCTATGGACTATACCAGTTCCTAACCTCTTGTCGACTCATCCGGCTACCCTTTCCCGTCCCTTTACTTGGAGATTACGTTCTTCTGGAGGCCTCTTTCTGCTCCACTCTGTCTTCATTCAGAGCAGAGCGCTAGCCGGCCTCCCAGATGATGGCTTACTCTTACCGATTAGCCACAAAGGCAAAGCGCTTTTGCGGTGAGCTGCATTTTGTTTGCCCGGAGCTCTATAAATCCTTTTGCCCTGCCGTCCTCATTCATCACCTTTTAATTCCATTATTCTGCCCAGAACAGGAAGACAACACTTCCCAACAGTCCCCGGACACTTTCCGAGGCCTTCAAGTGGGTTTAAACACAGTTAACAGAGCATGGGAAATCTTACAAATGTATACATACCACAGTGTGGCTAGAAACACACTATGGTAATCTCTAGGTTCCAGAGTGCTTGCTAATCAAGTTTGGCTGGAGTGTTTTCTTGACTGGAAATGATAGGATGGAGAACTAGAGACCTGTGAGGATGTCAGAACTCAACAACATTGCTCAGCTTCTACAATATGTTTGAGAATGATATGGTACAAGCTAGTATTGTGTGTGTGTGTGTGTGTGTGTGTGTGTGTGTGTGTGTAATGCTGATTACTAAAACCTACATACTTTTTTACCATATGGTGGGGAGATAAGACATAGTGGTATTCAAAATATAGCTACAAGCAGGACATCAAAAAGGACCACTCAAAAGTCTTCAGGACACAGAGCCTGGGTGGTTGGCAAAGCAGATGCACATGGGAACCGGTAAACAGAGCGGTACCTGTTCACATCCACACAGGCCAAGAACAGATTCCAGCTCAGCAGTTCCTGTATTACCAACACAGCCAGAGGACATGGTGATGACATGGCTAGTCCTCACACAGTGTGGCCCTGCCTCGTAGCCTCTTTGCCTCCTTTCCTGATGTCAGTTGCTTCTCTTGAAAAGACTCTTCATCAAAAGCAAAGTCCACCAAGTTACTGAACTGCAGTTTGACGAACTAGTGAGACCCCGTTAGCTGAGATGGAAAAGGCAAATAGATGGCAGGCCTTTCTCTGAATCCGTTAGTGAGGAGAGGCTGGGATCTGAGGCTTTTCAGCCTTTTTGATGACCGCACACCTGATATTCTCCTGCAGCTTCTGAGGTCCAATCTGCACAGAGCAGACATGGTCTTGCCTGAGACTATGGTTAAAGACTTAGGAACCACTACAGACTCCAGGGTAGAAATGAAGACACCTTGGTTCCTCTGTCATAAGTGCCCACACCTCCTACATGGGCTTCTTGGTTCCACCCCCATCACTTTCTCCAACTGCCAGAGGAGAAATCCTACATTTCTACCCACAGCTGACCCTGAAGGAAAAGTGGCAGCCAGCCTAATCCGCAGGAGGAATCCATTTCCAATTAAGATACTGAATTTTGGATTGACCATGGGAAAGGGTCCCCAAAATTTGTTTCTGAGACTTCAGTGTGCTGTACCAGCATCCCCATGAGTCCTGGCTTTCACCCCAGCCTGATATGGACACTCTGAACCACTTAACTATGTGCCTCCAACTGACTTCTCTAACCCATACCTTCCAGAAATTCCTGGAAATTTAGGACCAAAATACCCCTTCATTTATTCTACAAACTTCCCACAGAAAGTTAAAATTAAATCACAGCCAAGATGCTCACTTTAGCATTGCCTACTTTGAACACAAACATGGGAGGGAGCAGCTGGGTCAACAGCAGAAGTCTGTTAGAGCAGAAGCCGAATGGCCTCATGCAAATGGGAGACGTGGGAAACGCATTTGCTCTATGAGGAATGGGGAATAAGAACACCAAACACCAAGCTAAATTATGCAATGGCCATATGTGTATCAGGAAGAAATGAACAAGAAAAAGATCTGTTAGGTTAAAAGGAGTACAGGTTTTTTTCTTTCTTTCTTTCTTTTTTTTTTTTTTTTTACTTATCTCTTAAAATAGGTGGCAATAGTATATCAATACTAACACCACAGAAATTCTGTATTAAGTTTACTTTTTATCTGCATGGTGACATCTAATAAAAGTCACCATTTTGGGGGCGTAGACTGATAGAATCGGCCCTTATCAATGCTCCAAATGCATGTTTTCTTCACTGGGACACTTGATATTAAACATGATTCTTCTGAACCCAAGAGCAAAATCACTCACTCCACACTTCAGACTTTATTCTGGCACACATGACGCCATAGCAAGCGTGTGTGCTGTGGACTGTGGTGAATTTTCAGCTTGTTTGTACTGACAGGCACTGAGGAGGGTGGCCATTGTGTCCACATTACCAGAACTGTGCCCTTGAGAAGAACAGTGACAACACATTCTTGCTATATTGTCGAGATTTGTCACTACTGACAATGTGTGCTGTCTTTTAAAAGCATAAAAGGACAGAGTCAGCGTTCGTGAAGAGTCACTGGTCTGGATGAAGGCCTCTGGTTTCTGCTGCGCTGCCGATACAGGGCCCTCGCTGGGACTCCTCTTGGGTATCCTGTGGCTGCCCTGTGTCATGGAGAGCCTGCAGCTTTGGATCTGCAGGTCTGGTCTCTTCGCACGCTCCAGCAGTTCACAGATGAGGTGGATGTTGGGCTGGGCTGACTTATAGCCCTGGTTCTGGCCCTGGGTGGTAGCCGGGTTGATCAGCCCACCTGCTTTTCCCTCATTGTCACAGCACTGTCCCAGCAAGGTCCCCAACGTAGACTCGCTGCAATGAACCCTTACACATAAAGATGTACAGACTAATGGGGTATATAAATTGTGTGACTCACTGGGTCACACCACAACTTCCATACTGAGATTTTGGTTGTTTATTTTGTTGCTTGTTTTGGTTTTTTTTTTTCTGTTTTTTTCCTTAGTATTTTTAATTTACTTTTAAATTTTGTTTTGCAGGGCAGGTTGCAAGGGCAGAGGGAGGAAGCAAGGGGACAGGGAGAAGAATGGGATCTAGGATCAGGATACATGATGTAAAATCCACAAAGAATCAATAAAAAGTTAAAAAAAAAAAAAACAGAGGACTAAGTAGTTACCAAGTGACAGCAACTTCCAGAAAAAAAAAAAAAAAAGACTGAGGTTTGGATGAAGCTAGTGGAGTTTCAGGAGAGAGAAAGGACAATTACTTGAAGGGAGAAAAGGTGAACAGGAACTAATAGGCTTTTCCAGTGGTAAGAGTCAGCCTGGGTCACTCTGGCCTTTGCATTTGCATTTTAAGCAAAAGCCTTTTCTTTCTTCCTGGAAACCAGAGGCTTCCTAAATGGCCTGGGGAAATCCCAAGTCTCCTGCTTTACCCAAAGCCTTTGCCCTGCTTTGGGTGTTGCACTGGGTCAGACCTATCTGAAGAGAGGTTTCTTCTGATGAAACAATCTCTTGACACTCCTAGAAAGCACACAAAGCGGAAGTACTTTGGGGAGAATGGAGGAGTATTGCAAACCTCTATTTCAGATTACTGAGCAGAATGGAGGGAGAGCATGGGAACTGGAATTTATTTTGCATTTGGCCAAAATAGCCATTTTCCACGATAACACAGTCCTTTCTTAAAAAGTCTAACTTGAGTTGTGTTTCCAGTGAGGCTTCTCCTCGCTCTAACATGGTGATAACAAATCAAGTTTGCATTCACGTAACTCCTCAAGCCGCCTTGATGAATTTCCACAGTCGGCTCCTCAGTTCATCCTCGCTTCTCAGCTGGGAGGCTGGCAGGAGAGGTGCGATCTTAATCATCGTGGTTCGTTCTTGATTTCCTAGATATGAGTCTCTTCCCATCTTGCTTCATCATAGCCATCTAACTACACCTCCTCCAGAAAGCAGCTAAAGAAAGCCAAGAGCATGGAGGGAAGGAGAGCGCCCAGCACGAACTGAAAATTATAGAGTTGTGATTTTCACGGGCCACCATGTCTGAGGTATTTCCAGACAGCAAACACCAGGAGTCTAACTCACTGGGGTTCAGAGAACTGTCCAATGGGAAACAGGAATTCCCTCTCAAAGCAGGAAGGAAAGCTGCCCTAGTAGGATCCCACTGAGGGTTCACGCCCCAGGACTCTGGACATCCGCACTGGCTAGGCTGTCACACCCCCACACTAGGACTCAAGTTTAAAGACAGGAAAACCAGAGTTTTCACACTCTTCAGTGAGTGTGCATGTTGGACCACAGAGAAAGGCAGAAAGGGAAAA